ATATATATATATATATATATATATATATATACTTGCACGCACGTACCCCAAAAGGGGGAGGGAAAAAATAGTCTTATATACTACTCTTGCAGTGAAACTATGTCAGAGAAAATTTTCAAAAAATGCGGTTTCGGGTTTGAACGAAGATATTGGCTGACAGGAGGATTTGGCAAAAAAATAGCACAGATCGGTGGATTTATGTACCCCTATTCACCCCCCTCTTGAAGAGTATTCTGTCAGACATGTGTACGTGTCTAGACCAATTGCGTTCAAACAAAAAGACCATATTCCCTTGGTGATATTTTTTTCATTCTCATTACGTGTCTGTTTGACAGTGTATTGAAAATATAAGGAGAATTTATATACCAATCACTCTTGGGACTCAAAGGGTTAAAAAGCACTGCAGTTAATTCCAGGGAATTTTCAAATAGTCAGTTATACTGTACATGTAACTGCAGTCTAACAGACAAATTTGGTGAAGCAAACAAGACACATGTACAATGTGCATATATCTAGTTGACTGTCCTCTTTAGTGATTTATTTGTAAATTTGCTGATATTTAATTGTTTTGTTTTATAGAGATCATGTGGACACCATGTAAAGCCCACCATAGCTGTAACAAAGATATTGCCTTCTATGAGCAATCGATTTGCTTCTTGTAAGGTACATTGTAAACTTTCAATAATTAAAAGTAAGGTTGTCAGTGGTTAAAAAATCATTAGTGAAGTATGCTAGATCAAGAAATGTTGTGAGGACATTAACTGCAAGTGAGTATTTCCACATGATAGCCATTTTGAGTCCTCCCAAACTTTCATGACTGCTTCTTTAATTCAATAGAAATATGGAGAAAATGCAAAGAAAAGAAAATCACTTAGTGTTTATATTTTGTTTATGAAAATGTAAAATTATTTTGTTAATGCCACTATTATGTCAATTGAAAAGCTCATGCCAGTTCTGTCTTTCTATCAAGTCACAGAATTATCAATGGCTTTAAACATGTGCATTCTTACATGTACATGTTCAGAGTGTTTTCTAATGAAGGAGTTATTATATATTTAGTGCATTTATTTAGTACTTTTAGTATACAGTTTTTAGTATCACTTGACCATTTCGTTGTCATGTTTATAGCCAGGACTCCTCTTTGTGAGTTGTCGTCAACAGCATGGAGGTGCCAATATTACAGAAAAAAGCCTTAAAGGCCTATCTTCTTCAAATGGCCTTACAATACTCAAGAGGATGTTGAAACATGTATGGCCTAAGGACAGGCCTGACCTCAAGAGAAGAGTGGTTGCTGCTGTTGTGCTACTTGTTGGTGCAAAGGTACATACATGCATTAAGAGTTTTTTAACCTAAAACACAATTCTTCATCATGATATTTTACAGGACTGTATTTAGTGTATGTGTAACAAGCAATTTCCATCCTCAACAGAGTTAATTAGACTAAAAGTCTTCCTGAGTCAGTGTTATAAGGAAATTCTAGGCTATGTTGAGAGTGTCGCCAGTGACTGTGGTTTGTAAGGCATTCTTCCTTATCTGTGATGGAGATAAGTTAAAATATTTTACACCAGATATGTACTCTTGAAAAATTCCAGTCAAGAGCTTTTCCCAGAAACTGCAAGAACCATTTGTCAAACTTATTTTCCTCCAGTCAGATATGTCCAGGATTGAACACTAATGAGATTCAAATTCCTTATGATAAACATCACAAAGTGTCTCCTCATTGGTAAAAAGTCACCAAAACACACACAATTCTATCAAATATGGCTTAAAATGAAAATGTTGAATAACCCTGCCAAATATAAAGTGCTAATTAAACACTACTCGAGTTCAATCCTGGACATAAGTGCCTCCAGTCCATGTATGTACATGGCTCTTAAAAGGCTAGAGTCTTTTGTCCGGTCAAATCCTTAGATGGCCGTACAATTTGTCTGGTTGTTTATGCTGGTAAGGAAAAAAATCTAGAGTTTCAAGTTTTAAATATTTAAAGGGTCAATATCATTGGCGTTTGTGAAAAAGGAGGGAAAAAAGGTGGGTTGCACTTAACTACCAGACCAAGAACTTAAATGTAATAAATGATTCGTAATAGCCATAAAATTTCCGGCTATCATTGCGAATTTTCGCACAAATGTGATACTAATTTTGCTGTACCATGCGTTCCACTTTTCCTGCATTGAGATTGATGCTCATATATAATAAATGCTTTAAAAATTTACTTGTTTCGTATTTAAACATCATGTGAAGGGGGAGGGGCACTTTTATAGTGATAAGATGTAATCGATGTTTGTCCGGCCAAAAATGGGATATGTCCGAGCAAAAATAGGTTTGACCGGACAATTTNCCCCCCCCCCAGATTACTGGCATCTTTTGGAATTTATCGTTTCATTGTTGTTAATTGTTGTTCGTTTACTTAACTAGTATTAATATTTTATGTAAATACTCTCTTTTTTTCAGCTAATGAATGTGCAGGTTCCATTCTTGTTTAAGTACGCCATTGATTACCTCAATAACTTGGATTCTGCTGGTTTGGTTCAGACAACTGGTGGAACTGTTTTCACTGCACTGACAGCAATACTCTTGGGCTGTAAGTGTTGCTAAGAATAAATGTTTTGTAAATTACCAGTATAGAGTCAAATAACAATGACACTTTCACTATGTACAATGTACCACTGCCATTCTTTTGGACTCCCAGCGGTCAATACAGTGTAAGAGAACAATAATTGAATGGCTTTGTGCAAGACTGATGTAAGTGACTTCTTCAGGTGAAATTTAATAAGTAAAACCTGCATGGCCTAATTTTTTCTTGTGCATGTTACTTTTTGTACTTCTTTCAATTGAAATTATCATACTCAACAATTTATTTGAAATTTCTGAAAATGGGAATTTCAGACTGAGAGCCACTTTCATTAGTCTTAAGGACATAGGTTGCTTTAAGTCTTCTTGACACCCATTTTAAAAGCGGACAATATTTGGATCTATCAAACAGGAAAGCTCCAAAGAAAGAAGAAATATTTAATTCAACATATTGTATATATAAATGTCATACTCTGGTTTTGCAAACTACAAAAAAATGAAATTAAAAAAGCTGGTAAAACTTGGGTTTTAAGCCTGTACATTACAGCAGTTTGTGTTTATAGTATTACAACTGAAGGTTTGTTTCTCTAAATTTAGAAGCTTGCAACACTTTACTTGCAATGACATCCTGAAGAAGAATTATTATAGTAAAACTATTCCTGACCATCGTCACTTCTAAAAAGGCATTTTTAAACCTCAAAAATAATATATGACTTACAAAATGTGTCGTGATTGACTGGGAGCAAGGAAATTTATCATGAAATTTCAATTTGCCCTGCACTGCAAATTAATGCATGTAAATAATTGTTATTTATTTATTATTAATTATTATAATTAATATTTGAGTGACATTTAAGAATTATTTTGAATTGCACTCACTTTCATATGACTACCAATAGTAACATAGTCTCTTTCACAGCCATTATTACGGACGTCACACAACGCTTCTCCCTAGTAGGGGAAAAGCGTTGTGTGACGACCCTAAAAACGGCTGCGAAGGAGACTAATAGTAACATGCAGAGTTAATTTTTAGATGGCGCAGCACGAACAAGTGCTTCTCTCTTCAATGAATTGAGAAATGCAGTGTTTGCTAAAGTTGCTCAAGGGTCAATCCGCTCTGTTGCAAAGAGAACATTTCTTCACCTTCATAATCTGGACCTGAACTTTCATCTGAAAAGGCAGACAGGTGCATTGTCCAGAGCTATTGACAGAGGAACTAGGTACGTACATGTAATATACATTGAAACATCATCAATCGTTCGATGACTTGGATTGAGGAACTTCTGAAGGAATTACCTAACAGCAGGCTTTTAGCCAGGATTTGAAAAGTGGGCGTCCAAAATGCGCTATAGGGCCTGCTCAAACGAACAATTTATGAAGCAACATATGAAAAATAAAATAATTTTCTTTAAAAGGTGGCCATCCACGTGACGCCTGGATGCTCATCTGGCTAAAAGCCTGTCTAACAGTTTAGTTTACTGAGGTTATCAGCGGGCCAAAACGTAAGAGCCACTTGAACAGTGTTTTATCCAGAAAAAAAGTTAGAACCACTCATAAACAGCATCACATTGAAGTATGGCTGAGTGACTTTCATCTGAATGGTTTCACATTAGGGTTTTGTTGAAAGTACTGCACCATAACGTTTATTTGAATGGTTGCACTCTTGTTTTCTTTTACAGGTGGATTTAGTAGAACTAACTTTCATATCTAGTTCCAAGTCAGTGAAAAGTTTGGATTTATAATAACATTCGACTGTGTACTATCGGTAATAGCTTATTAGTAGGCTCTTGAAGGTGAAGGAAGAAAAGCCTGATCGCATGCTCTGAGAAATATGGTCCCAAAGTTCCTCTTGTGCAGTTTAAGTCATAATGTAGGCTAATTTGAAGACAATTCATAAACATTTGCTGCAATTATTTCAACAGGGGTATCAACTTTATTTTGAGTGCATTAGTGTTCAACATCTTCCCAACGATTTTTGAGGTGCTGCTGGTGTCTGGAATATTGGTAAGTTTTCTATACTTGGAAAAATTAGCAATTAAAGAAAAACAAAAACAAAAAAAATAACGAAGGTATAGACGACCACATTCATAATTCAATGGAATACTCAAGTGGGGATAAGATTCAATAATGGCTGGTCAATCATGCAGGCTTTGTCGTCTCCTTCGCAGGAGCAACCCAACAATGAGTGAAGCCTTTTCGATTCTTTTTTCAACGTTGACAGGGAAACAGGGAAGACTGTCGCGCAGTTTGGGGAGTGTAACAGTTCCTGTGCCTTCCACTAGAATAGCTAGAATAGCTACAATAGCTGATGTGGATCTGCTACTATCAAAACAAAAAATATATATTTACAGGTTTACAGTTGCAACATAAAATAGATAAATAGATAAATAAAATCACAATAATTCGATGGACAATACGGCGATAAAAATTAAATTTGGAATTTAGGAAAAAAAAGAAATGAAATATTGATCATAGAATTCAGTAATATATAAAATTAGCCCCCACACACGTAGAGAAATGTACATGTTGGGTCCACAGAATTGTCTTTTCAAGTTTGATTTCTTACATGCTTTGTTAACAAAAGGTTTAAGAAGTTTCCAACTTTTTTGCAGACATATCGCTGTGGTAAAGAGTTCGCCCTGGTTACACTAGCTTGTCTGGGAACGTACGCCGCATTCACACTATTAGTAACACAATGGAGGTAGAGTGCATGGCATTACCGTGACCTTTGCCGGGATTGTAGGACTTGTAGTGATAACAAATGATTCAGAGGGTTTGTTTGTAATGTTTTCTCCAATACACTCTGTAGGACCAAGTTCCGTGTACAGATGAATAAAGCAGATAACGAAGCTGGCTCTCAAGCCATTGATTCGCTCATCAATTACGAGACCGTGAAGGTACTAGCACATACTCAGCTTTCTCTGTTAGTGATATCCAGTCACAGGCTTCTGAAATGATAGCATTGCTTATAAACAAGTATTGCAGCGGACATCAAAAGTTCTGAAATTACGTAAAATACGCACACAACAAAGCTGAATTTCTGTGTTTCCATCGCGGATTTTGAGCTTGCGAGCAGTTTCTTGAGTTGAAACTTCGTCAAACCTGAACAAGAACAATTTCTTTTTTGTGCCTCACATCGCCGATGGAAAAACTGAGAAGCGACCGATCTACATGCACCTAAGCAAGCTGAGTAATTTTTTTTCGAAATGTACATAGCCATCATAAAAAAAGCGGAGTTGAGTTGAAATTTTCTGTCGGTCAAAAACAGTTTAAACATGATGAATAACCTCTTATTAACCGAGCGCAAGGGCCATACTGGGGGATATTGGCCCGAGGTCGTGGCAGTACGGACCGAGCGCAGCGCGCTCCACTTAAAAAACGACCGAGGGCCAATATTCACCAGTACGGCACGAGCAAGCTTGGTTAGTTAGTAGTTTATTATATGGCTTTCGAAAACAAAATGTACTCGGCTTATGACCGATGGAAATGGTCCGTATTACAAAACACAAGAAAGAACTACTCAGAACGCTCGGATTTACCTGAAGACAACTTTGCCATATTATAATGCTGCTTATTTTCCTTTTTCTTTCAGTATTTTAACAATGAACAGTTTGAGGCCGAGAGATACGACAGGCTCCTAGCAGATTACGAGAAAGCTTCGCTCAAGACAACCACTAGTTTAGCTCTTCTTAGCTGGGGACAGAACTTTATTTTCAGCGCGTCCTTGAGTATAATCATGGTACTGGCCAGCAGACAAATCCTACAAGGTACTTCAATGTCTGTGGTCGCATTATAAGTATGCGTAATCAAATGGCGACGAGTGAAATGAGGAAATAGTTTCACGCGCTTTTTGTCAAAATTCTTAAAATTACCAGTGAGAGCTTTTAGACGAGGGAAATTATTAGAATTTTGACAAAACGCAAGAGAAACTATTTTTCAATTTCACTAGTGTACCATTTGACTAGCTAGTTTTATTATATGACTTGCGTTTGTAGCCGATATAACGCGCGCTCTGATTGGCTAATACTAGGGCATTATTCTGCCGTGATGCCCACGGGCCTATTACGGACCAGCAAAAAGCCATGTAATAAACTACTAAATAACCTCGAACGTTGGTTCTTGACAGAAAAATCTCAAACCTCGGCCTGGCCGTATTGACCGAGCGATGGCGAGGTCAATACGGCAAGGTCTCGGTCTGAGATTTTCCCGTGAAGACCTCACTCGCGGTTAATAGAAATCTCGATAGAAATCTCGATAGAAATCTCGAGCTCTTAATCTAACTGTTAACAAGAACAAAGTAATTAGTAATATCAGGTATATTCCGTTTGAAAAAGGGTCATGTAAAACAAATCAGCTAGTGCATCTGCTCTATTTATCTCATAGACGCATAAAATTATGAAGTTCTTCTGACGTTTAATGCGACTTATTTTCTGTATTAACCTAGAGGCATAATACGTATAAGATGCAGTATTCATCTGAGACTCGTTATTCCTCTGCCTAGGTGAATACGGCCAAGAAGTCACGTTTGAGGTCGTTACTTTTTCTGGGTATTTCGCCTACTGAGGGCAGGACGGAGAAAGACCCTTGGAGCGACTGAACGAAAGTGTTACTCAATCTGTTTTATTCCCCTTTTTCGCCTCTTAGGTACAATGACAGTAGGTGACCTGGTGATGGTGAATGGCCTGTTATTCCAGCTGTCCGTTCCACTAAATTTTCTTGGCTCTGTTTATCGTGACATAAGGCAATCACTGGTTGATATGCAGACCTTGTTCGACCTTCATAAAGTTTCTTCATCTATCAAGGTACGGTTTGGAGATCAAAATACAATTTCTCCTTGCAGTACGTATCGAGGCATTGTCAAGCCGACAGGTGGAGAGAGTCACGAAAATCGTCAATGGGTTGAAAATATTGTCTTGATGTGCTACGCAATGCTAAGAACTATTAATAAAAGAAATGTATGCTATTAAGAAAGGAGAATTCACATTTTGATGGTGGGACAGAGGCACTGTTAACGCCAATCTTTTCATTTTAGGTGAAGCCTGGTGGATTTCCTCTTGTTCTAAAACCTGGTGATCAAAGATCCCATGTCATTTTTGACAACGTTGTGTTCGGCTACTTGCCAGGACAGAATATTTTGAATGGTCTGACATTTACTGTTCCAGCGGGGAAGAAGATTGCTATTGTGGGAGGTAGCGGTTCCGGGTATGTTAAATACAGGGATACGTACCTTGGGAGGGGAGCTGAGAATGCGGGGTTTTATGATTCCAGCTGGGGGAAATGGTGACTGTTACTCTCGCCAAGCCAATTTTGGGAGAGGTTTGATCTCTAAAGCTTGAAATCGTTAAAGCATTCTTTGCTTGACGATTCTTGCTCTCACTGACTTATTTAAATTGATAGTCTTTCAAGTCTGTCTTGCTTTGCTCCTTTCATTCAATCGATTTAACAGGCCGTCTTTATATGCAAGTACGCGACATTGTCTGTGGCATGATGGTTCACTCTTGACAAATCTAAGGCAGTTAACTTAAGGCCTTTGGTGGGGAAGAAGAGTAATTGACAAATTGATATCCGTTTTTCATGCTTCTGTCCTGTTATTGATCATGAATTTCGTCCTAACATTGTCAAAGTAGATCCACGAGGCGATAGCAACAACATCACATAAATTATAACTTCTTGTGACTGTCCGTTTATTGGCAATGAAAATTAGCCAATGAGCGCGCGAGAATTTCTGTAGTTATTGTAAAATTAAGTATGGTGGGTCTTGTCAATGTTTCGTGCGTTGTTTCTTTATTTCTTTCAGTAAATCCACCATTGTCCGATTGTTGTACCGATTTTACGACCCTAATGATGGGCGCATTCTGGTGGCTGGCCACGACATTCAAGATCTAACGATCGATTCTTTACGAAAAGCCATAGGCGTTGTTCCACAGGTAAGTGGACCTACTTGTCGTCTGTGCTAGGTTGTGACTTCAACATCTGACAAACCAAAGGAATGCCAAAGAAAATCAGTTTTTCAGTCGCTTTCTGTGAGCCCGTAACCACCTTGGCTCAGTTAGTGGTCTGCCACAGCAGAGTGGAAGGGGAGGTCATGGACACGAATATAAGTCGAGAAAGACATGTTTTGTCTTTCCCTCGGTATTGCGATGATACCAGATTGAAGTGATCATTTTTTGAAGTACCCAAGCAGTCCAGCCTTAAAGGAATTTGGATTCCTTTGTACTTGTGTCCTACCTGTCTAGATTGATTGTGTCATACGAGGGCTTGAAAAATCCTCGAAAAAGGCTCTGAAGTTTGTATGAACCAAGGTCAAATGGATCATCTGGTAATGTGGTTGTTAAAATTTAGCGGAATCAATGTCAACATGCCAAACACGAAAGACCGTATTTGACCACATTTCCAAACACCGAGAAGAGAGTTGAAAATACGACGCGCACTGGAGTATTTTTGACGAACTACGAGGTGTTTGAAGTTTGGTGAAACACTGTCTTGAGTGTTTGATATATCTTCTCAATCACAACCAAAACTAAGTGAAAATACGGAGAAATAAAATCGTAAAAAATAATCCTAATTAAAATCAGATATACAAACACCGTCGCGGTCATGATTTTCTTTGTTA